AAAAAGGAGTAGGTAAATAGCTCCACATAATTATCTAAGATAGTTAATGGATGCTCATTTGGAGATACTATTTATCATTTATGAGCTTATAAGAAAAACTAAAACAAAACAGCCCAATAGCAGCCCGTGCAGAAGTATTTATGATCCACAGGACAAGACTTTTATTTCATTCTTGCAAGCAGCCTGGTTGGGCTTAAGAGTGTGATATTTAAATATCTATTGACATACCACTGAAGACATAATGAGTGAACGTGTCACATGACCTCTGAGGTCACATGATTGCTGGAGCAACAGTGCTCTAGGTTCATGACAGGTGGTCTTTGCCCACTTGCTGCTTTCCTACCTTAACAGCCATTGGGAGCAGAGTGAGTTAAAGAGACCTTGGCCTTTCAAAATTACTTACATTTACCTTTCATCTGGGATTAACCGTGGACTTTCTCAGCCATTCAGGTTCATAGTTTGTAGAGATGTACTCTGTATCAACGGACAGGATTGCCTCCTGTTTTGTCTATAGCTCTGGAAACTACATTTAGGTGTTACCTGAGTAGTGTAGGTTTAAAGTGGTGAGGTCTGGCAGGGCAGTTGATGTGGTACTTTTGAGAGGTTGCTGTTGTTTTTTAATGAAGATAAATGGGTTTGTTAGGGGGCAGCCAGATGTAAGCTGTAACAGACTTTCCACACAGATGGGAAAGAGTAGCAGTTGTAGGGATCTTTTTCTGGTTGCCCCTTTCTGATGGAGCCATGGGTGTAGTTGTTGGAAATGAAACATTTCTGTTTCATTTCTGAGACATTTGCCCATTCTGCATGATTAATCTGTGTATTTCATCCCTAGCATTCATTAGATTGTGTTTGGTTAACCTTCCTTAATAACCATAATTGGAAAAAAAGTTTAATGTTTATGTTGTTCAGAAATGAACAACAGACCTCTTTACATGTTGTTTCCGAGTCTGAAGGGTTCCAAAGATTATTGCGTTTGAAATATTTACCCATTTAATGTGTTATTATGCCAGGATCTATTGACTTGTTCAGCTTAATAGTTCTAATTCTGGGTTGATTTCTCTTGTGTTTATTTCCATATTCATAGTGTTAATTACTTGCTCGAAATTTAAAGAGATAGAGGTTTATAAATGTTAATACGTATCATATAACTATCTTCTAGATAAAACAACGTATCTTATGGTTAGGCACTGACCAGGTAAGGGATCAAAACTCAATTTAGATTTATTTATTTTTTACTACCTTCCCTTCTCGTACAGGCCAAGACACCAACCAGGTAAGAGATTGTGAAGGAGAACAGCGTAGTGTGCTATCCTCCGAGGAAAACAGACAAGAGATAGTAACTGGATGTGCAGTGGGAGAATTGATCAAAATAGATGAGGGAGCAATGGGAAGGAATAAGGCAGTAGAGATATTCTTAGCAGAGGGTAGACAAGCCAGAAAGGGGAGGAGTTAGATTTGATGAGGTGGGAGGAGATTATAAAACAGGGGGAGAAGGAAAAGAAGGGGAAGAACAGGGAGTTGAAAAAGAGGACAAGGGCACTCAGACTGAGGAGAAAGAACTGCAAAAGTATGGACCGATCGAACTAGTGCGTGAGTTCCCGAATCTCTGAACTAGGGGAGGCTTATTACCAGATCGCCCTCAAAGCCTGGTGGAGAAAGATAAGTCGAAGTTGAAAACGGGATGGAGTATGGTAGCAGTTCCATGCTCCCAAGATATAGGGAAGAAGGTAACCTATATTGGTACCACCAGTTACCTGCCGTATCTGGAGGGTAACTACGTGAAGCATCCCTGTTGCAGGACGATCTGCGCAGCCTTGAGTTCCCCAACTTGGAACAAAATGGATCAGAGTCTCCATGGGGTGAAGAGGGAGTGAAGGAAGTAAAGAATGTGCATGTGACAAATGTTAAAAGTTACAAGTTATTGCCAGAATTAAGTTTGTTGGACCCTTTCCATATTGATGATTCAGAAGCTAAAAGGAATAAAGAAGCCATGTTTCTACCATTATCCTCGTCTCCATCTATTTTTCCCGCTGAAAGGAGACTCGCCTCTTACAGAGAAAGAGCCCAATCACAGAGATCAAATCTATTTTTTTTCCATTTTCACAACTTTGCCTCCTTATACAGCCCAAGACACCAACCAGGTAGGAGATCATACCTAATTTTGGTTTATTTTTTCCATTTTTACCACTTTCCCTCCTTATGCAGGTGAAGACATTGACCAGGTAAGGAATCAAAACCAATTTCTGTTCATTTTTTTCTGTTTTAACTGCTTTCTCGCCTTATTCAGGTAAACACACTGAGAAGGTAAGAAATGAAAACATATTTTCAGTTCTTTTTTGCATTTTTACCACCTTCCCTCCTTCTACAGGTAAAGATACTGACCAGGTAAGAGATCAAAACTAATTTTGGTTTATTTCTTCCTTTTTAACTGCCTTCCCTCCTTATAAAGGTAAAGATACCAACCAGGTAAGAAATCAAAACTAATTTTGGTTTATTTCTTCCTTTTTAATCGCCTTCCCTCCTTATACAGGTAAATATACCAATCAGGTAAGATTGCAAACCTAATTTTCAATTATTTTTTCTATTTTGACAATCTTGTCTCCTTATACAGGTAAAGACACTGACCAGGTAAGAGATTAAAACTAATTTTGGTTTATTTTTTTCCATTTTCACAACCTTGCCTCCTTATACAGGTAAAGACACCGTCCAGATAAGAGATCAAACCTAATTTTGGTTAATTTTTCCCATTTTTTCCATCTTCCCTTCTTATACAGGTAAGGACACCAACCAAGTAAGGGATCAAAACTAATTTTGGTTTATTTTTTGCATTTTTACTACCTTTCTGCTTTAAAGTGTCTTACCACTGTTGTTCCAGCCAGTTAGATTTCCCATTCCCAATTGGTATAATAAATAGAGACTGTCCACTGGATTAGTTATTTAATAATGAACAGTACTTTTGAACTGCCTGATTTCATTTGTCCTTCTTTTCATCTCCAGAAAAATCTGCAGTAGATGTTTTGTTATCAAACAAATATTCCAGTTAATCATTAATATTAAATATGAAAATGTTACATACTTCAAGTTGGACCTAAACAATTGTACCTAGAGTAGACCCACTGAAATTGAACTTAATCATTAGATTATAATGCACTGATTTTAATAATTTGAATATGATTAAATTTGGATCCAATTCTGCATCTCTCACAAGTGATGTCTTTAAATTATGGCACTTACCATTTTCTTTAGTGTTATTTCTACTAAGTCTTTAATTCCTTCGTCAGGATCTTCTTCTGATGGTTGTTTCAGCAGGCTATTCTTCAACATATGAAACATTTCCTCTCGTGAAATATATCCATCGCTATTCAAATCATAGACGTCAAAGCAGTCTTTGGAAAAGATAACCGAGTTAATTTTTATCTGACTTTAGCTTTTTCCCCTTTAAAGCTTCCTGCTATTGCTCTATCTCAATGGTAGGGAACGGGGTAAATTAGCCCAAATGGGGTAAAAATTAAAATTCTGAGATTAATGAGGATGCGACCCTAACCCCCTTCCCTCCTCCTCCTCCTCTTCTGCCTGGAGGAGGGTCCCCGGCTGCCCGATTGCCCTCTTCCCACGCCCCTGGCTGCAACCGAGCCACGGTGGATGATGGCCGGTGACAGGCCCTAGTCGGTGGCATATGGCAGCTGAGGCGGCAGAAACAGGGCTGGCCATGGCGGGGGGGAAGGCCGGGGCGAGTGCGGTCATGACAGCGGCCCAGGCCAGGCTCAGCCTCCCAGTGCTGGGACGCCAACCGCCCCACACCCTGTCCCCATTCCTGGAGGACCCCGTCAGGCGGCAGCGGCGCTTGCCCGGCTGTGTGGCTTCCTTCAGCAGCGCCTCCATGCTGGCCGAGCCTGGCGGAGCCTCTTGCCCTCCGTGCACCAGCTGTCGCAGCACTTCAACGGCAAGGCCTGCGGGAGCCCTGACGCCGAGGCCTGATGTGGCCGCCCCAGCGAGCTGGTGCTGGAGCGGGAGGTGGCATCAGGCACCCCCCGATGGGCAAGCCACCTGCTGCTCTTCAACGGCACCCAGGAGCCACCTGCTGGCAGAGAAAGGGAGCCGCCCCCACAGGGCCAAGGACTGAGCGTGGCCCCACCAGGTGGCGGAGGAGGAGGAAGCCTGGCTGTGGGTGACGCGGCGGCAGCAGCACTCGACTGACCGAGACCCTTCCTTTCAAATCAAGGGGGTAATGTTGGCGTATATAAATTTTTTAGGGGATGAAAGGTAAAAAAAGTTCCCTGACCCCTGCTCTATCTGGTCATTCCCACTCTTACATATGTCCTGTGGTAGTAAAAGAAATTCAGATGATAAACCTATATAAAAAACCTAGCTTGAGAAAAATTTATGACTAGCATTAAGTTGTGCTACTGCCATAGAAACCTTACATTTCATCTTCTCTTCCAGTGATCCTCGAAGAAATATTGATAAGCCTTCTACCCATTCCGTTACACTGATACAGCTGAGTGGACCCTTGACGTGCGCACGACTCAACATGCGTACGTTTTGAGGTACAGACTTCTTTGGCCGCAAGATTTCCAATCGACTTGTGGCTGGGGCTGCCCGATTGCCCTCTTCCCACGCCCCTGGCTGCAACCGAGCCACGGTGGATGATGGCCGGTGACAGGCCCTAGTCGGTGGCATATGGCAGCTGAGGCGGCAGAAACAGGGCTGGCCATGGCGGAGGGCAAGGCCGGGGCGAGTGGCCAGAGTGCCCCAGCCAGGAGGAGCCTCTCCTTCCAGTGCATGGAGAGGTGGATCGCGGTGGAGGGGGTGGGCGTGGCCATGATAGCGGCCTGGGCCAGGCTCAGCCTCCCAGTGCTGGGACGCCAACCGCCCCACACCCTGTCCCCATTCCTGGAGGACCCCGTCGGGCGGCAGCGGTGCTTGCCCAGCTGTGTGGCTTCCTTTGGCGGCGCCTCCATGCTGGCCGAGCCTGGCGGAGCCTCTTGCCCTCCGTGCACCAGCTGTCGCAGCACTTCAACGGCAAGGCCTGCGGGAGCCCTGATGCCGAGGCCCGATGTGGCCGCCCCAGCGAGCAGCTGCTGGAGCAGGAGGTGGCATCAGGCACCCCTGACGGGCAAGCCACCTGCTGCTCTTCGACGGCCACCAGCCACCTGCTGGCGGAGAAAGGGAGCCGCCCCCGCAGGGCCAAGGACTGAGCGCGGCCCCACCAGATGGTGGAGGAGGAGGAAGCCCGGCTGCAGGTGACGCGGCAGCAGCAGCACTCGACTGACCAAGACCCTTCCTTTCAAATCAAGGGGGTAATGTTGGCGTATATACATTTTTTAGGGGGTGAAAGATAAAAAAAGTTCCCTGACCCCTGCTCTATCTGGTCATTCCCACTCTTACATATGTCCTGTGGTAGTAAAAGAAATTCAGATGATAAAGAGGGCTGAGCCTTATATAAAAAACCTAGCTTGAGAAAAATTTATGACTAGCATTAAGTTGTGTTACTGCCATAGAAACCTTACATTTCATCTTCTCTTCCAGTGATCCTCGAAGAAATATTGATAAGCCTTCTACCCATTCCGTTACACTGATACAGCTGTCATTGTCCTTGTCAAAAGCACGGAACACTAAATGGAGGGGGGGAAATGTTATAAAACCGCATAGATGTACTTTTAATTGATAGAGCCCAAATCTTAAAAATCCCAACAAGACTATGTCAGTGCATATAGAAAATAAAACAATGGCCCATAGACTGAAAACATTTGATATGATGTGCAAGGGAAGTCTACTACAGTGGTACATCAACTTACAAACGTCTCCAATTACGAACATTTCGAGTTACGAATGGCTCCGTTCACAAAATGTTGCTTCTACTTGCAAATGGAGCCTTGACTTGCAAACAAAAAAAAACCTTTCCTGCCCTTTTTTTGACCTAAGTTCATTTTAGGTCAAAAGAAGAAAAAATAAAAAAAATTCTCCCCCTAGTGGTAGAGTACAGAATAACCGGCTTTGCATTAGTTTCTATGGAAACTAATGCCACTACTTGCGAACATCGCCTAAACATAAAAATGAAAAACAGTCGGTATGGATTAAATGGTTTTCAATGCATTCCTATGGGAAATGGTGCTTTGACTTACAAACTTTTCGACATACGAACGCCGTTCCAATACAGATTAAGTTTGTAAATTGAGGTACAGTGGACCCTTGACGTGCGCACGACTCAACATGCGTACGTTACACTGTACCACTGTATTCAAAGTAAAAACAAATCTTTGAGAAGCCTAGCAATTTTGCATCTCAACCATAACTGATTCTTTGTCACTAAGTGGGAGTTTTAAAAACATAGTTACAATAATTTTGAAAGCACAGTTTCTAGTGACAGCATAAAGCTTCACCTTGCATTTATATTTTACTATTATTCATCTGTTACTCAACTATTATTAATTTCTTCATTACAACAGTAGAAATACACCAGTCATGCTGCATGTTGCCCTGGGCAGAAGAAACTGAAAACATACACTAATTGTTGTGCAAAATGTAATACCCAAACAATTAAATTTTCTTTTCTATCAACTTTGAAAATGAACTAAAACATAATAGAAATATTTTCAAAACTGCCATGCAAAAGGATTTTTAACATATATTTTAAACACATACAAATGTAAAAATGATAATTTAATCTCACCTCTGTCCATGAGCATGTCATCTGTCATTCCAAATGTGACATGAAGGATATTTCTAAATGAGTTACGATCTAAGCCAACAGCAGTAGGTCGGTCACTAGGCTCCACTCGCAAGGAATTGAAAAGTTTTATGAGACATTCAACTTCAAATCTATTGACTAAACAATAAGTTATGACAATAATTAAAGGAGTGTTATAGAAATAAAAAGTCACAACAGGTACAGCTGCTTTGAAATGCCTTCAACAAGAAAGTTTCCCTGTCACTGAATCTCTTGTCTTCAAGAGTGATCACTTCAAGTGATCATTTGATCACCATTTTAGCTTTTGTTGATTCTTTTAGTCTTCCTGCTGATTTATCCTGATTATGTTTTATCCTAATCAGCTCTCAACTTTTTATTTTATTGTTGTTTTACTAGTTATCTGGGAAGAGTCAGCCCCCGAACAGGTTATTCAATCTCCATAATAAATAAAAAACATGAAAATAATCATATAATCGTAATCCTGGAACTGAAGAACTGGAAGGGACCCTATGGGAACCCAACTCCCAGCCTCTGGATACCTAAACCACTGAGCTATTTAGTAGTTCAAAACACTTTGGTAACAACTATGTCTAATGAAGCTTTGAAACAATGTTAAATCTCTCTTGGAGGAAGGGAAGGATTAAAATGTAGTATATTAAAATAATACATTTTAATGTACTACATTTTAATCCTTCTCTTCCTCCAAGGAGCCAGCTGGATAGCTTGGTGGGTTAGGGTTAGGGCCAGAGGCTGGGAGTTCGATTTTCCACTGTGCCTCCTGTGACTAGAGCCAGCCTGTGTGGCCTTGGACAAGCTGCACAGTCCCAGAAGGGAATAGTAAACCATGTCTGAGTACTTTCTACCTAGAAAATCCTGGTATGGTCAACACAAGTCAGAATTGACTTTATGGCACACAGTTATTGACACTACTCTATTTATATCCCATCATTCTTTTAAGGCAGTGGTTCCCAAGCCTGGGTAACCCAGGCGTTCTTGGATTGCAATTCCCAGAAGCTTCACCACCAGTTGGGACTTGCAGTCCGGGAACCCTTGCTCTAAGGAGTTCATGGGCCTCCCTCTTTTTCTTATTCACAACAACCCTGTGAGGAGGTTAGTCCAAGAAAGTGAGTGGCCCCAGGTCACACAGTGAGCTTCGCAGCTGAGTTGTGATTGGAGCCTGGTTCTCCTCAAACGTAATCCAACCACTGCACCACACTGCCCGGTTCCAGCCCTCTTTGTGGTATTTTCAACTCTTCTCTTTTTTACCTTATAACCTCATTCTGGTAAATCAAACCACTGAGTACGACAGGGTATATCTGACTTCTGCAAAAGCCCCGAATCAGGATTGTTATTGTTTTCCTCCAAGGAGCTCCCGGCTGTTGCCATGATTTCTCTTTCGCTCCTTGCCAACAACCTTGTGAAGTCCGGGAGTCAGCGGGAAAGCGCCCTGGCAGGGAGCTTCAATGCTGGATCGAGGTGGATCGAGCTGTAGAGATTACGTGGGGACACCCACATGCTTCTCTACGGAACCAGCAACACATGAACACGCGCACGCACACACACACACATATTGAAGGAGTGGCTGAAATTGAGGAGAGAGCCCAACCACTACTCACAATGCTTAGCGGTTTTACAAAGGGACTCGGCGAGTTTCTGCAGCTTCTTTCTATTCATCTTCAGCTGCGCGGCTTTGCTCGGCGGCCCGATGCGACGCGGTTACCGTGGCAACAGAAGATTCCGGCCGTCGCCGCCGCGCACGGCCGGAGGAAGGAGGGCGGGAAGAAAGAAGCGGCGCTCCGAAGCGACGCGCTTCCTCTTGCCTCAGCGGCGCGTCAGGCTGCCGAGCCCCCCCCCTCGCTGCTCCCGTTACCCCCACAGGCGTTCCCCCTCGGTATTACGGGGCTGCTTGTTTTGTGCTCCGTGGAGTATTATCCAGAAAAAAAATGTACGCTCTTGCGGGGCTTGGCCTTACTTGTAAGGGCCGAATCGCTCCAGAATCTATGGGCAAAACTTGTGATTTTCAGCGAGCTAATAAAAGGATCACTCACCCTTGCATTTTTTTCATACTTTTCTTTCCCTTCTCCTTTTCTTTCCCTTTTCTTCTCTTTTTCCTTCCTTCCTTATATCACCTTTATATCCTGCCTTTCCATTAAAAGATCGTGCTCAAGGGAGCCTACAAACTTTTAAAAGGAAAAAAAAAGCGGGAGATAAAAATCATATTTAGCTTAAAAATTGTATAAATTGGGCCAACTTTAAAAAAATATTAAAATTAAGCAACTATATTAAACATTAAAATTAGCAGAAGATACAAATTAAAAACAACAACGCAGATGGTTGTTCTTCAATTCAGCTTATGAGCAGTCCTCAGCAGAGTAAGCCAAATTTTGGGGAAGTATAGACAGCTTTCCCCTCACAATATAGTTTGTCATATCACTGGATCTTACCACAAAGCTTCTAGTGAAGAATAGTCTATCTCAATATTTTTATTTTGTAATTGTTCTTATATTTCATATACACCCATAATTTTAAATTGTGCAACACTCCGATAAGTAGAAAGCACATGTGTGCTTCCCTGAACTGAACTGTAAATTAGAAACTACAATTTTGCAATCCCTTTTGTCTTTTTAAACAGGTTCTGAAGAAGGCTGTAGAATAAACTGGCTAAAATGTAGTGCACATTTTTTTAATGAATAAAACAATTTCCTCCAATATTTCAAATCTCTCCTAATTTGGTACCAGTAGATGTTATTTTGGCTTTAGGACACCCTGGAGCCTTCCTGTGAAATGTAGCATTTCTTCTTTTTAAAAAATGTAACACATAGGATAAAACTGCCACCTCTTGAGAAATGTACTTTGCCCCTTTTGTGCCCCCCACCATAATTTTTTTGGTACTGTAATTACAGTGGTGAAATACAAATAGGTGAGGAAGGACAAGATCAGAGCAAATTAAAGGGAGGAATTTAAGCTTTAAACATAAACTTTATGTTTTAAGTCATAAAGGACCTGGAGATTATTTTGCCCACACTACTGCTCATTGGACTTATCTAGCAGCTATAGGCATCCCTATATATTGCTATATTATTTCTGTCTAAATATCGTCAGCAAAGGCAAAGTGTGCTGCTGACTGATGGCTCTTACCTTCAGGACACTTCAAAATTTGTTTACATGCAATTACCATGCCGTAGTTTCTGCCTTACCTTCCAAAACAACAGCAAGTATATCTTCATCTAACTGGAAAGGGATTTATTTAACTCTAGGATAATAGATTACTAAACTTATTGTCTGGGTAATTTCAGTTTGGTATTTGCATCTGCTGGTCCATGTGTGGGAACTGGTAACACAGGGTTTGATCCAGGCTGATTCAATTGCACCCAATTCCTTTTGAATAAGGAAATATGTCATGATTAAAATTTTCAGTGGGATCAACTTTCAAACAATTTGATGGAGTCAGCTCACCAATACTGCTGATTCCAGTTTGCGATTTTTGTTGGGGAAGATTTATGACTAGAAGAGTAAGCCAGAAGATGAAGTAACCAAGCCCAGTTAATTTCTTGACAGTTGCTGTTGTGGTTCAGAAATGCCAGGCCCTTTTTTCTTACTGTTTTCAACTCTTTCCTTCAGCAGCAACCTCAATGTACAAGCTGACAAATCCTCCCAGCTTCTTCTGTCACACAGGAGGTACAGTACAGTGTTAGACCTTCAGCTGCACACTGTTGTAAATTGGGTGCTGTGCTATGTAGGCCTGTTCAAAGCAGCTTCTTCTGTCACATAGGAGGTACAGCGTCAGACCTTTAGCTGCACACTGTTGTAAACTGGGTGCTGTGCTATGTAGGCCTGTTCAAACAGTGCAATCGTTACTAATTCCTCAAATTTCAGAGGGTTCTAGAGTGGAATGGGATCTCCAGAATCTTGAGATACAAATCTCTCTCGCCATCCATAAAATCAACTTTTCATTGATGTCTAGTGTGAAGATTTTGTGCAGATTAGTATTCCAAGATTCTAATACAGAACTTATGTTTTAAATACCAACCCACCTTTCCCATACTTTTTAAATATATAAACACAAAATCAAGAAACAAGAAACTTTAAAACAGATCTTTATTAAGTGTCTGGTAGTATTTTTTTTACCAAGACATAGTTGCATAACAGGTCAGCCATTGAATTTGTGTAGAGTAAAACCAGCTTCAATATGAAGCTGTTTGATATCACCCTCTCAGCTTTTCACATGCTAAATATCTTCAGCAAGTATGCATTTAAACATAAGCATGAATACAATACAAACTAATACTTTTAAATGATGCTGTGTGTTGAACATAATTAAAAATGAAAATAGAAAAAAACACATCACTGATTACAACTGTTGTCCTCCACTGGTTAATTTTGAAATAGTACAAAATCATGCAGAACATTAATTCTAAATGCCTTAATGACAACACAGTTTTAAAAGGGAAGTTCAATCCAACTTAATACTACTTTAAATAATGGTAAAACATATTACTAGCACGATACTCAGTATTATTTTCATTCAATGGGAGAAAGAGCCTAATTTTTTTGGATGTCAGCTATGCTGATGTATGCTAGTACCACATGCTACAGATCTGGGATAAACTGACAGCCAAGTTCGATTAAGAATGGGTAGCCACATTTGTTGTCTGCCCTGCTGACACATAAACAGACAGGAACAGAAAGATGGGAAAAATAAGGTATAATTTTTGCAAATGCTACACATGAATGGGGCGTTGCATAAACAAAGAAATATGACAGCCCATTACGCCTGAAAGATAATTGGCATAGATTCTCTTATGCAATTCCCTTTTACTTTATGGGGTCTTTACTGTATAGGAAAATTTTCCACTGAATTTACCCCATATTCAGAAATAAAAAGGTTTCTGAAAGTACCTTTGGAAGCACAGTGACAGTATCAGCCAACGCTCCTGCTATTTGCAAAAATCAAAATATGCCCCCTAGTCCACGAGAGCACAAACAACCCATCTCCCACTCATAGAAGCAAGAACAAAACTACACTACATATATCTACAGATGTAACATTTGTACATGTTACTGGTATGTTTGTTTCAAAAAATGGCATCAGTAGTAGTGAAATGTCACAGGAGTTACTGTGTTGTATGATCACCTTTGAAAAGCAATTTAAATTTCCGCAACTGTTAAATAAAATCTCTACATTTAATAAGAGATGGGGAAAGTTATTTTTGGACTACAATTCCCAGAAAGCCTTAGCTGACACATTTGGTTGCTAAGCTGGCTAAGATACCCTGGGAATTCTAATTGCACGTAGCAGCTTTCCCACCTTGGCTTTACCTTTCACTTTTAAGCATAGCAGCACCTCTGAGATGTATACAGAGAGTCTCTCATGGGCTGCCCCATTTATTACAACACATCGAGCTGATCCATGTGTGCAATTCCACTCATATATTACTTAGTTTCCTTCATTACAATGTAGGGAAAACGCTGAGCTATACATGTGCATTGGAGCACATGTAACAACTTTAGAATTGGCAACAGCATTCCACATCAACCAGATTTCTCACTGCCATCAAATCACCTAACCCATGTGCAGGACTTATCTTAAAACATTTACCATCAGCTATTGGAGGGGAGGGTGGAGGGTACTACATATTCATATATATATACATATATATATATATATGAAGCATCAGGCAACATCAATGGCTATTTCCAGCCCACCGGCACTGGATAAGCTGAAAGCAGAGAACATTGTTAACACACAGGAGAGCTCATGCAGTTGGTAGAGTCTGTCACAATTTTCACAGTTACTGTTCTCTCATTGCACTTTTGATAAGAAAAAGAGTTTTGACTGGTGTTATTCTGAGTGAGAGCTTGAGCTAGCTGTCTTCTTTTTCTTCTTTTTGCCATGTTTCTTGTGCTTCTTTCGTTTTTTTGTCTTGTCCTTTAGAAATGTAAGCATCAGAAACCATTTCAAATTACAGAAACCCACTAACTCAAAGTTTGGTCTGACTATAGATACAGTATGTACTTTCAAGGGAAGGGTCAATACAGTGCTTGAACAGCTTTGTTTAAGGTCATCCAAGTACAACAGTGATATATTCCTAAGACAGGGGTCTCCAAACGATGGCTTCTGGGCCACATCCAGCCTGCCTTGCCTTTTTATCTGGCCCACCACATGGGCAGGCAGATGCACATGCATGCGGCATGCATGTAGTGGGCATGCGGGCAGGCATGCGTGCGTCTAGGCAGGCATGTGCGAATGTGCGTGTGCGCATATTCCTTCGGCCCTCAAAACTGTGGAGCACATATGATGTGGCCCTCCCACTGAAAAGTCTGGAGGCCCCTGACCTAAGAGATTCTTGTAGGGAATGGGTGAATATTCATTTGGACAGAAGTCCAGGAGTCCGAGCGCGGCTTGGCTCCCAGCAGCGGCGGTGGGAGGGGGAACTCCAGATGCCTTCCAGGTGGATAAGCCCTGGAAGGCATCCAAAGTCCCCCCCCCCCGCTGCCGCTGCCGGGAGCCTTCGGAGGTCTCAAACGGCTTTCCCCCTGACATTGGAGGAAGCCATTTGAGAGCTCCAAAGGCAAAAAGGCAGGGAGAAAGGGCGGGAAATTCAAATTTCCAGCCCTTTCTCCTTGCTTGTTTGCCTTCGGAGCTCCCAAAGGGCTTCCTCCAATGTTGAGGGGAAAGCCCTTTGAGACCTCCGGTGGCTCCCAGCAGCAGTGGCAGTGGTAGTGGGGGACCTCCGCATGCCTTCCAGGGCGGTGGAGAAGCCATGGAAGGCATCCAGAGGTGCCCCGCTACCGTTGCCGCTGCTGGGAGCCGCGCCGCACCGGGCAATCTCGGCCATGCTCAGGCTCCTGGGAGTCTGAGTATGGCTGGGATTGCGCGACGCGGCGAGGCTCCCAGCAGCAGCGACGACAGCGAGGGACCTCCGGATGCCTTCCATGGCTTCTCTGCTGCCCTGGAAGGCATGCGGAGGTTCTCCCCCACCGCCGATAGTGCTTCGGAGGCACTCTCAGCAGTGGGGGGGGGACCTCCGAGATGCCTCCCATGGCAGCGGAGAAACCCTGGAAGGCATCCAGAGACAGATCCACGGCCTACAGACTGGAAGGGGGAGGCGAGGAAAGTGCCAAATTTGAATCTGGCGCTTTCCCCGCCTCCCTCTTCTGGTCCGTAGGTTGATTCTCCGGCGGCAAGTCGAAGTAAAAATTTGCGGCCGGAGAAGTACGTCCATCAAAAAGTAGGTAAGTGGAGCCATTCATAAGTTGAGACACCACTGTAATTGGTTTCAACTAATGTAACTTTCAAATTAACACAATTGATGATGATGTCTTTACTCTCAGTACGAATAAGGCTAAATCCAGTCCATCAGGTATAGCAATTAGGCAAACCAAATCTATTTTCATTTGTGTTGATGTATCAAAGCCAGAGAGCAACTGAAGTTAGGAGATGGTAAGACCAGCACATATTAATGCTGATCTAAGAAATTAAAGCAAGCACTTTTTGGTTAATCAATAATAAAAATAACACTTACATTTCTCTCTTTCTCTTCACTGCTTTTTTTCCTTTTTGCTTGTATCTAAGAAGGAAGAGGAAGGAAAAAAAAGAATAAATATTTTCCAAAATGCCACAGCAGAAAAACAAAAACACCACAATAGTGATATTGCACAGTAACTATGCAGACTTTTTAAAAACTGTTCCTCGTATACTCAATGGATTTGATGGCCTTATGGGCCCCTTCCAATCTCATTATTCTATGACTCTATAATATGCACAATTTCTAATTTTCCAACAAAAGAGGACTCTGCTCTTTTTTGTTTCGTAAAGCCAAAATTTTTCAGTAGCAGGGTAGCTACAACCAAAGTTTAAGAATATCTGGGCAGGAAAAATTTCTTCACTAAACATTCTTCACTTATAATAGGAAATGTGTTCCAATACCTCTATCACTGCTATACTATGACTCTATAATATGCACAATTTCTAATTTTCCAACAAAAGAGGACTCTGCTCTTTTTTGTTTCGTAGAGCCAAAATTTTTCAGTAGCAGGGTAGCTACAACCAAAGTTTAAGAATATCTGGGCAGGAAAAATTTCTTCACTAAACATTCTTCACTTATAATAGGAAATGTGTTCCAATACCTCTATCACTGCACGCGAATGGCACTTTAATTGCTAAACATTCTCACACTAACTCCAGGCTTTATATACAGACCAACCTCTTCTGTATGCTCAGATTCTGATGAAGATTCTGATGATAGCGCGCCATCACCATGATCTGTTTTCTTCCTTTTCCTACTAAGGCTTTTGGTATCCTATATAAAATAAAAGCCAAATGGTATGTGCTGATAAATCAAAGATATTATAATTGGCATTATGACTTATACCTCAACATGTATTTTTATTTATATAAGGGGGCTACAAGTTGAAAAACCAGTGAAAACTTAAAAAATGTGACAGAATACATTTATGTGCTGCCAATATCAAAGTTTATACCGTGGGTGCATTAAGTGGGTAAAATAATAAAAAATTGGGTAAATAAATTTCATCTAAACATAAAAGCACAATTACTTAAGGAGTAGATCTGTGGGCATAAAAAACCAAAGAAATTGTCTGCCATGTGAAGGTGTTTCTCCACTGGCTTCCTACAAAGTCAAGGAACTCTACATACCATAGAAGTAACTAATATTAATCTCTAAAACCTAATAATTTATAACAAAAGGATTAAAGTTGGAGAGACAAAGTGCAGCCCACCAAAAATCACCACTGTCAGTCCAAATCCTGTGGATCTTCTGTCTTTAAATCTCCAGGAAAAAAGGGATAACCAAGGATCCCCTGAACCTGGGGGGGAGGGGTTCCAGGAATCATTTTATGGCCCTGAAAAGGCTGGTACCATCATCCTGGTTGTGCAGCATAAAGCTGTGTAACAGGATTTCAGCCACTATGTCTTAAGATAGTGATCTTACAATACATTAAAGCATTTTACCTTTTCTCTGTTAGAGCCTTCCTTTCACTTTTATGTTTTAAGCTGTGCTAAATTTTAATAAATTAAAGTAGCTAAGGTTTAATAGTTAATTCTTCGCTGTCTGTGATTAAAATCAATGCTATCTGAAGTTTCAGTGTTTCCTGTAATGACCAATATATTTATTGCAGAGATAAAAATTATAGATATTTTGAAAATAGGATGTCCAAAAATAAGCTTTAAATAAACCATAAATAGTTTTTTAATGTTTCGCAGCAGAAATGAGACATTATTCTTAAAAGGCCAGAGGTATGTTAGTATAGAACAAACCAAAGGAAAGAAATTCTTTTCTTGTTCACAGTTCAACATTTGTTTTAACTGCTCACCAGCTTGTTCCTAACTGGTCTTGAGTCAGCATATGAAGAAAGTCAGATATTAAGACACTTTAGTATCTTTTCAAAATTCCCAGGCAACATCCACAGTGTTACATCATACCTTGCTCTCTGATTCAGAGTCAGAACTAGAGCTTTCAGATGATCTCCGTGCTGAGCGATGCTTTCTTTTCCTTTTCTTTTTCCCTTGTTTCTTATCCTAATCATAAATATTTTAAGAAAATTGTTTGGTTTTGGCTCACACTAAATCATCATCTACAACTGAGCTTGAAACACATGACATGAACACCCACTAATGGTGGTGTAGTTAGAATGCTAGATTTGGGATTTGCAAGAGCCAGATTCACATTCCCATTCAGTGAAGAACTACAGTATTCGCTTTCCAAGCCTGAACTACCTCATAGGACTGCTGTGAGGATATAGTGGGGAGGAGGAAAGCCATGTACCCCAGCCAGGCCTCAATGGAAGAAAGGCAGGGCATAAATGTAACTAACAAATAGAACAATGAATAATACACATATATTCTTATAGACTACCCATAATAAACTCTTGCAAAAGGAAGGTGCATAAAGGGGCAAAAGGGGCAGCCCTCTCCCCCCGTGCTGTCTGCCATATTGTTTTAGCAGATCCCTTAATCTTCTGGACCAAATCTTCTGGAAGGAAGGGGCTATGTGCAGGAAAAAAGAGGAACTACTAATGGCTACTGTCCTCACATTCTGACACCACAATCATCTCATAACCTGAAGTCCATTCACAGGAACAGCAGATCCAAACTAGAGTGTTTAGCAATAGGATACATCAGGTGGCTTGAAAAATAAGTATTTCTTAAAAGGCCACTTTTATTTCAATGAAAGTTTTATAAGTTGGAGTTTTTATTACTTCAGTATTAAAATGCAAGCTATACATAAAAATGACAAGAGGAAAGGAAAACTGGCATAAGCTTATGTTTGCAGAATAACATTCTTACCTCATCTTCACAATCAGAAGAACTGCTGGAAGAATCAGAGCTTGATGAGGAAGAGGAAGATGGAGACAACTTGACCAAAGACAACAAAACGTAAATTTGTGAGATGCAGATTTTGTTAGAGAAATGCAAACATGAATGAGATGCAATCCAAGAAGAGCCTCCTTGATTACAGATTCATGATAACTGTTTTGAATTCTACACGCTAAGTGGGAGAAAGCAACTAAAGTTGTACCAATTAAACAAGAAAACTGAAAATCCATTATTAACAAAATATAAAAGCTGCTTTCTAAAAATCAATTTTTTCCATACAGCAGCAGAGTCTTATGTTTCAATGTTTATCTACATTTGCATTGAAAAAAATAAAATCTTTGCTCACCCTACTGGATTTCTTCTTCTCTTTTTTCTTTTTCTAAAAATAAATTAACAAATTTGCATTAGTATGCCACCAATGAAAATCCCACATTTCAAGGTACAGTGGTGCCTCGCATAGCGATCGCTCCGTTTTACGGTGAAATAGCTTTGCGACACTGTTTTTGCACTCGCAAAAGTGATCGCTTTGCATTGGCTCCTATGGGGGAAATTCGCTTTGCCAAGATCGCAGGGAAGCAATCATCAAATCACAAAGCCCCCATTTTCGGCCAGCTGATCGGCGGTTCCAAAATGGCCGCCGGGTAAACAAAATGGCCGCCCGCTGTGTTGCCTCGCTTTAGAGGCACCAAAAATGGCCGCCGCAATGGAGGATTTTTGCTTAAGGTTAGTTTTTAAGCCCATAGGAACGCATTAATGGCATTTCAATGCGTTTCTATGGGCTTTTTAAATTCGTTTAGTGATGAAATCACTTAGCAACGTTTTTTCCTGCATGGATTAACGTCGCTAAGCAAGGCACCACTGTACATTCTTTGGTAATAATGCTGTACTGTAATATAGTGGGCCCTCGACGAACGGCCCCAGTTGCGAACGTTTCGGGTTACGAACCCAATCTCAGCGGAAACTATAGACCCTACTTGCGGAACACGGAATCGAGTTACGAACCAACAAAAAAGGAAAAGAAAAAAGAAAGAAAGAAAGAAAAAAATCTGCCCCTAATGGTAGGAACGGATTAAGCAGTTTTGCATTAGTTCCTATGGGAACTAATGAATCGATTTACGAACCGCCCCTCAACTTAAGAACCGAAATCAGACGGAACAGATTAAATGGTTTTCAGTGCATTCCTATGGGAAATGCTGATTCGAGTTACGAACTTTTTGGGTTACGAATGGACTTCCAGAATGGATTAAGTTTGTAAGTCAAGGGCCCACTGTAATCTATTTAGATAAGACTATCAAAACAGAAAAATCCATTGTTCCTAAATCCATTTACCTCTTTCCTTCTTGAAGCACTCTCACTTCCACTTAACAGTTTTTCCCTATGTTTTTCCAATTCTTTTTTCCAGTTCTGAAAGACATAGAAAGAAATCATGAGTTGTTTTTAAACAGCTTTTGATTATCTCAAAAACATCTTGCATAAATGTTTCCTCATTTATGACAATAAGGCTGCAGTCATTTACTGATTTAAACTTCATTGGGTTTTTCTTTTAATTAGATATATATTGGATTCCCTTTTAATCTTCATTGTTAGAGGATTCCAAAAAGACAGACTTTATAGAATGTGAATAAGTTACAACAAATGTTGAACACAGTGCTATTAATCCCTATGTCCTTCTTGTTTCTTCTCCAAAAAAAAGGCTGATATTCTGGTTTTTGTGCTGGTATGGATGTATTAATAGAGCTTTGTGGATTTTCCATTAAAAAGCGAAATATACAATCCACAATAACACTGTGATCCAAAACGTTGTGCTGTCTAAGATGAAAGGAACAATGAATCCCCATCCGTATTCCATGCACAAAAGGTGGCTGGAATGGCAGTTGAATCTTGCTTCAACGCAGGCAAGAGGACAAACCGTCTACCATATCTTTAGCCAAAGGCAAATTTAACAGAATTACAATAGGCTCTGTGCTCTAAGAAAATGGAACAGTTAAGGGATTTAGGAAAAACAGCCAGAAGGCTGCCAGCATTGACGTCTGCCACCCATCTCATTCTGCCTAATGGTAGTACTAACCTCAGAAACACTAAATATTATTTCCCAATGTTGTGGAGCAAGAGACCCAATAAGTAGCATTTTCTATTATTCTTCATCTATTATTCATTAAAAACTGAGGCAAGACATTTTCAAAAGTTAATTCCATTACGCCAAGAAGAACATCAAGGCAATCTATCTCCATACAGCACACAAAAAAACTAACCTCATTCATCCTTTCTTCAAATTCTGCTAAGGCCTTGGAACCTTTCTTCTTCTTTTCTAGTTGCTCTTTTACTTCTTCCCTATTGTGAAAAAACAGCAGCAAACCTTGTTTATACAGATCTTCAAATCTGTCCATTCAACACATTCTTCTCTCACAGTAGACAAAGAAACAGTTAAATGTAACGCCTGGAGATCTGGTCTGAGGACTTGTCCAGGAAAGCTCACATTAACTGCAGTTCCAGATTTGGACAAAACAGCTGCCCAGAGTAGTGCTTGGACCAATAAAATGAGATATAAAATGAATGAATGAATGAATAAATAAATAACAAAAAGGATAGATAAAAATCAATTATTTATATTTTAAAAAATCAGATTTTTAAAAGTTTAAATGTTTTTATTCAAACCAGCTTTGTTATTATGTTCTTAAAATGCCATATGTGATTATAATTTGAATGTGCTTTCGGTTCAAATATTTTATTATGAAATATAGATTATATATTCCAATTCTATATTATGAGACAATGTACTCATCTAATATTTTCTTGCAAGTTTTGTAAAAAGGCTCAACAGTTATTTTTTTGCTTTTTTAAAATGGAGCCTCAATTTTATGAGAGATTTCATAATCTTCTGTACAAATTATTTAGGTTAACCTTTTCATTTTCCTAGTATGTAGTGTAGTACCAGAAGAATTTGCAGTTCTCAAAATGGAGTTGTCTCCAGAAAATAACAGCAATGCAGTAAAATGAAAAATAACAGCCATATTTTTTGTTCTGACTGACATTATTCCTGGAACTTTCCCCCTCTCTCCCTCCTGACATATAGATGTCAGATTTTCTTCAAAAATTAGGTGATGTAGCAACTCTGGCTAGCATCCTTCTGCAACTTTGTGTAGACAAAGTCAAAGCCTTACTTCTCTCTTTGAAAATGCAAACTTCCAGACACTGGAAGTGTCAATGTACAGTATATGCAATTACTGGAGGTGGAGGCAATCTGAGCAAGGCTGTTGTAAAACATTTGCCTGTGCTTAAAACAAGCAAGAGTGCACTTCTATCATGTGGAAAGATATCACATGAATCTTTCTGAAGACTACAGTACAGTGGTACCTCGACTTATGAACTTAATCTGTTTTGGAACGGTGTTCGTACGTCGAAAAGTTCATAAGTCAAAGTACCATTTTCCATTGAAATGCATGGGAACGGAATTAATCCGTTCCAGCATTTCAAAAAATTACCTTTGGAGGTCTCAAAGGGCTTTCCCCCCGACATCAGAGGAAGCCCTTTGAGAGCTCCAAAGGCAAAAAGCCAGGGAGAAAGGTCTGGAAATTTGAATTTCCAGCCCTTTCTCCCTGCCTTTTTGTCTTCGGAGGTATCAAAGGGCTTCCTCCGATGTCGGGCGGAAAGCCCTTTGAGACCTCCAAAGGCGATGAATGGCTCCGTTCGCAAAAAATGGCATTGACTTGCGAACGGAGCCTCAACCTCGTTCGTAGGTCGAGGCTCCATTCGCAAGTCGATGCCAATTTTTGCAAATGGAGTCGTTCGTAAATTGAAAAGTTTGTATGTAGAGACGTTCGTAAGTCGAGGGTTGACTCTAAATTCTCTTTATTGCCACCTCAGTTCCAGATTTGGACAAAACAAAGGGTTTTGTCCCAGAGGTTGGACAGCAGGAGCCAAGGACGTATGCCCATATAATGTTAAAGCAGACCAGTAATTTTGAGATAAAGCTGTCCACATTGCAGAATGAAACCACAAATTCTCTTTCTTGTAAAAGCAGGAGAGTCATCATTGCCATACATACCATGTTGGTCTTGGCCTGTTCAAGTAGTCTTGTATGGTAGGACCTGAAGATGGGGCAGGACCTCTTGATCTAGCCATTGCTATGGGATTCATATAAGCCTTAAATATGACAAAACAAAGCACTTAAAAATTATGTACATCAGTGTTGCCCAAGACAGAAAAAGCATGTCAGTAATGAAAATTAATACCTCCTCTGAGACCTCTCCTCTGCTAAAAGAAACTGCAATCCTTGAATCAGTTTTTGTATGAAAAAATTAACATGTTACTTGGTTGAGACAAATAAACTAAATTGAATTAAAATTTCAAAGCATCTCACAACAAAGGATACAGCTGACTGTAAGGAGATTTCTTCAGTACTTTTATGTAATAAAAGAAGACTTTAACTTATAAATGGTTGCTCAGGATACAATTTACTATTATGACCATAATAACATCCTCATTGTAGCCCTACCTCTATGTAAATTTTATTGCAAAAAGTGAACTGCTAAAGGTAGTTGTGGGTTTTTCGGGCTCTTTGGCCGTGTTCTGAAGGTTGTTCTTCCTAATATTTCGCCAGTCTCTTGGCTGGCATCTTCAGAGGACAGAAGTCAGAACTCTGTGCTCTGCACTGCTAAAGCTTGCCTTCTGATGGTTATCACAGAACCCTGAGGCCACCACTGAAAAGGCCCCATCTACTATCTTATAAGTTGGGGATAACAGCACATAATTAAGACCTTCAAAGGCAAATTTAAGGTCTGGGCATGTCTACTGTATGTACAGAGAAATGAAATACCAGTTTGGAACAGATGGTCCGAAAATTCCATCTAACAACAGTTGACATTTCATTTCAATAATCCCCTTTCTCCTTTTTAGAACCCTAGGACACTACAGGCAACTCTACACCAGAGAAAGGAGATCAGCTGGGTACACTGAAATTATATCTTATTCTATTTTAAGTCTGCTGCACAGGATTTAATTGGATACTTTGAAGGTTTTTTTGGCACCTTATGCTTTGAGTTACACACTTGAGCACAGGCTCTAATTAAACTTGAATAATGCAATCCCATGAGATGTAGAATGAGCAGAAAAATAGTGGGGGAGACAGATGTTTAATGGAGAGTACTTTGGAACAAAGAAGTTGTGAGTATGTTGAGGAAATATTCTGTGTTTTGTGCCTCCTGAGGTGACTTTTTAAAGCCCATTTGTTTCTTATTTATGAATTTCTGTGCAATGTTTCATGGTGCCATTATGTACAAATGCAAATATCATGCAAACATATTTGTTAGATACACAGGAATTTGCTGCAGATTCCTACTGAATCTATATTCAGTGGGAAAACCCAGCATGCCATCTAAGATGCCAACCTTAATTCTACTACATTTTCTGCTGACCATATTTTAGTAATTCACTAGTACAGACATTATTTTTTTCCATATGTGTAACTTAAGTATACTTCACTCAAATGCCTCGTACTGTGGTTTCAGTACTGCTGACTCTATAGTGGTTTCCACTAGTCCAAATGACACAGTCACAGAATCAGGCAGTACTGCACTAAACCAGAATATATATATGTGTATTTCCTCCCCATTGCAACCTTGTTGTTGTTGCTTAGTTGTTTAGTCGTGTCCGACTCTTCGTGTCCCCATGGATCAGAGCACGCCAGGCCCTGCTATCTTCCATTGCCTCCCGGAGTTTGGTCAAATTCATATTGGTAGCTTCAATGACACTGTCCAGCCATCTCATCCTCGGTCGTCCCCTTCTCCTTTTGCCCTCATACTTTCCCAACATCAGGGTCTTTTCCAGGGAGTCTTCTCTTCTCATGAGATGGCCA